GGTGTCCCCAATGTCCCCAGGGTGTCCCACCCTCGCGGATGGCCGTGCAGGGCGCGCCCTCCTCGTGCTCCAGCCGGATTTCCTTCAGCGCCACCAGGTTCTCGGTCAGCTTGCTGCGGCCCTTGTACACCGTGGCGTACGTGCCCTGGGGACACAGTGGGGACATGGGGACATCAGCAGGGACATTGAGGACATGGGGACATCAGCAGGGACACTGTACACCGTGGCGTACGTGCCCTGGGGACAGGGGACATGGGGACATCATCAGGGACATGGGGACATCAGCAGGGACACTGTACACCGTGGCGTACGTGCCCTGGGGACAGGGGACATGGGGACATCAGCAGGGGACAGGGGACATGGGGACATCAGGGACACTGCACACCGTGGCGTACGTGCCCTGGGGACACATTGGGGACATTGGGGACATCAGCAGGGACATTGGGACATCAAAGACACTGTACACTGTGGCGTACGTGCCCTGGGGACAGGGGACATGGGGACATCAGCAGGGACATCGGGGACATGGGGACATCAGGGACACTGTACACCGTGGCGTACGTGCCCTGGGACATGGGGACATCATCAGGGGACGGGACATCAGGGACACTGTACACCATGGCACACGTGCCCTGGGGACACAGTGGGGACATTGGGGACATGGGGACACCAGCAGGGACATGGAGACATCAGCAGGGACATCGGGGACATGGGGACATCAGCAGGGACACTGTACACCATGGCATATGTGCCCTGGGGACACATTGGGGACATCAGCAGGGACATTGGGGACATGGGGACATCAGCAGGGACATGGGGACATGGGGACATCAGCAGGGACATCAGGGACACTGCACACTGTGGCGTACGTGCCCTGGGGACACAGTGGGGACACTGGGGACATGGGGACATCAGCAGGGGACATGGGGACATGAGGGACACTGCACACCATGGCATACGTGCCCTGGGGACACATTGGGGACATGGGGACATCAGCAGGGACATCGGGGACATGGGGACATCAGGGACACTGTACACCGTGGCATACGTGCCCTGGGGACACGATGGGGACATTGGGGACATCATCAGGGGACATTGGGGACATCAGCAGGGACACTGGGGACACTGCAGACGGTGGCGTACGTGCCCTGAGGACAGAGGGGACACGTTGGGGACATTGGGGACATCAGCAGGGACGTTATCAGGGACACCTGCACACCGTGGTGTAGTGCCCTGGGGGACACGGAGATAACACAGGTGACACGGGTGACACGGGTGACACGGGTGACACACAGGTGACACACGGGTGGCACACAGGTGACACAGGTGACACGGGTGACACAGATGACACAGGTGACACACAGGTGACACAGGTGGCACACAGGTGGCACACAGGTGGCACACAGGTGACACACAGGTGACACAGGTGACACACAGGTGACACACAGATGACACGGATGGCACACGGGTGACACACGGGTGACACAGGTGACACAGGCGGCACACAGGTGACACAGGTGGCACACAGGTGGCACACAGGTGACACAGGTGGCACACAGGTGACACAGGTGACACACAGATGACACGGATGGCACACAGGTGACACAGGTGACACAGGTGACACAGAGGTGACACAGGTGACACAGGTGACACGGGTGACACAGGTGGCACACGGGTGACACACGGGTGACACAGGTGACACACAGGTGACACAGGTGACACGGGTGACACAGGTGACACACAGGTGACACAGGTGACACACAGGTGACACAGGTGACACAGGTGGCACACAGGTGACACGGGTGACACACAGGTGGCACACAGGTGACACGGGTGACACAGGTGACACAGGTGACACACAGGTGACACAGGTGACACGGGTGACACACGGGTGACACACAGGTGACACACAGGTGACACAGGTGACACAGGTGACACAGGTGACACAGGTGGCCCCGGCCCTCACCTCTCCCAGTTTGTCCAGTTTCACGTAGGTCTCCAGTTTCCCGAAGCCGATCTCCGACTGCCGGGAGGGAGCGCGCTCAGGGGGGCTGGGACAGCCCCGCCCCCCTGTGCTGGCCTGGACTGGGCTGGACTGGTTTATACTGGGCTGTACTGGGCTGTGCTGGGCTGTACTGGTTTGTACTGGGCTGGACTGGGCTGTACTGCTTTATACTGGGCTGGACTGGGCTGTGCTGGGCTGTACTGGTTTGTACTGGTCTGTACTGGTTTATACTGGGCTAGACTGGTCTGTACTGGGCTGTGCTGGGCTGTACTGGGCTGTACTGGTTTATACTGGGCTGTGCTGGTCTGTACTGGGCTGCACTGGTTTATACTGGGCTGGACTGGGCTGTACTGGTTTATACTGCTCTGTACTGGGCTGTGCTGGGCTGTACTGGTTTATACTGGTCTGTACTGGGCTGTGCTGGGCTGGACTGGTCTGTACTGGTCTGTACTGGTTTATACTGGGCTGTACTGGGCTGTGCTGGGCTGTACTGGTTTATACTGCTCTGTACTGGGCTGTGCTGGGCTGTACTGGTTTGTACTGGTCTGTACTGGTTTATACTGGGCTGGACTGGTCTGTACTGGTCTGTACTGGTTTATACTGGGCTGTGCTGGTCTGTACTGGGCTGTACTGGTTTATACTGGTCTGGACTGGGCTGTGCTGGGCTGTACTGGTCTGTATTGGGCTGTACTGGTCTGTACTGGGCTGTGCTGGGGTGTACTGGTCTGTACTGGTTTATACTGGCCTGTACTGGTCCGTACTGGGCTGTGCTGGGCTGTACTGGGCTGTGCTGGCCTGTGCTGGTCTGTACTGGGCTGTACAGGTCTATACTGGTTTATACTGGTCTGTACTGTGCTGTACTGGTTTATACTGTGCTGTGCTGGGCTGTACTGGTTTATACTGGTCTGTACTGGTTTGTGCTGGTCTGTACTGTGCTGTGCTGGCCTGTGCTGGTTTATACTGGTCTGTAATGGTCTGCACTTGTCTATACTGGTCCCTACAGGCCTGTACCAGCCCATACTGGCCCACACTGTCCCATACAGTCCCACACTGTCCCATACTGGTCTATACTGGCCCATACTGGTCTATACTGGTCCATACTGGTCTATGCTGTCCCACACTGTCCCATACTGGTCTATACTGGTCCATACTGGTCTATGCTGTCCCACACTGNTACTGGTCTATACTGGTCCATACTGGTCTATGCTGTCCCACACTGTCCCATACTGGTCTATACTGGTCCATACTGGTCTATGCTGTCCCACACTGGCCCATACTGGTCTATACCAGCCCATACTGGTCTATACCGGCCCATACTGGTCTATACAGTCCCACACTGTCCCGCACCGGCCCATACTGGCCCATACTGGTCCGTACTGGTCCGTACTGGTCTATGCTGTCCCGCACCAGCCCATACTGGTCTATACCGGCCCATACTGGTCTATACTGGCCCATACTGGTCTATACTGGCCCATACTGGTCTATGCTGTCCCACACTGTCCCATACTGGTCTATACCGGCCCATACTGGTCTATGCTGTCCCACACCGGCCCATACTGG